AACAATCTCATCTTCGCCTTTCTCCACATGGCACCGAAATGTTCAAACACATGTCCGTGTTGGTTGCATCTGTCATTATACATGCGCTCTTTGGTAGACTGACGATCAATAAATGTTGGGGGGGTAAGTGAAAAATGTGTCTGTGCTGTTTCGAAGGGTATTAAAAGGGTAATTTTTGCCTTTGTCCATCACTCTAGTCCTCATAGAAGCTTCGACCTCACAATAGCGTTAAAGTTCGCTTTACGAAAAAGCAATTCATTCTGTTAGCAGTAGCTAGACAACAATCTCCCAATCTGTTGGAAACTCTGCTTTATTGTCAAGTGATTGAGTCAGTGAGCTTTCGAAACACACACACCCCTCTCGCTAAACAGCATGCACAACCCGAGCGAGCTCTTCATTCCACTCTGTCAGGGGGACGAGCGGCATCCCGACGCGCACAAAGAAATCAAACACGAACAAATCGAAGATACCCTCCCCAAACGAACGACGACCCACGATCGGAGTCATCGTCATCAGAGTCGCCCGAACACACAATCAGCAAATCCTTGCCGGGAGCCACAGTCTCGAACGAGTCTTCCGGACCATCGAAACCCGAGCAACTCCCCTGCTTGCTGGCTTGCTTGCTTGCTTGCTTGCTCATCTGACCTGGCTTGCTTGATAGCTTGCTAGCTTAGTTGCCTCTGTCCGCTTTCTTGCTGCGTGCTGGCTTACTTGATCTAAAATGCTTACTTGATTGTTGCGTACTTTTGCTCCACTCCTGGAGCCCATGAAAACACAACAAACAAAATTGAAAATGCCTAAAGGAATCAGAGTGCCGGAGGAAGTGGGCCAGATGCAAGATCCTTTAAACGTACCGACTAAATCGGCCACTTAAAATTGCAGGATACGGCTCTACCAATTTCGCAGAACAGCACATGCATAGCAAAAGGAATGTCAATTTGCAATCAAGCCCTAGCGATGTGGCGAGAATGTGCGAGAATGCAGACCTACTGTACATGCACCTCCAAACAACCGGCTAGATATTTAAGCTTCAGAAACAAGAATGCTCACAGCGCAGCTACGTGCCACGCTGCATGCAAGTGCGGGCTTTCAGCATCGTAGTGTTAAGGAAATGCAAGAATTCTCGGCGACACGGTTGCGGAGAGGCGGTTGTGAACAGGCAGGTTTGACATGGCTTGAGGCTGAGTGGCCCACGATGGCCCACGGCGACAAAGATGCAAGTAAGTGGCGGAAAGGTAAATGCCTCCATGAAGGTGCCTTTGATACGCAACATGATGTTGTCGTCATCCTCAGACGGTAAACTGAACCCCTGTGCGGCATTGTTTATCTGAAACCGCTCCTTGCTGAAGGCCGCGGTGGGTGGAGCCTGCAGTCCCGGAATTTCAACAGCAATTGCGCTCGAACGTCCAAGCCAAAGACTGTCTGCTGACGTGGAAGACCGCCGCAACCTAAGTCTCTTAGCCTCTTAGCCGTGGCACAGGACTCACAGAACTGGGGGCAGTGAAGTACATGGTGCCAGACAGCCGATGATACTATATCTGCGGTTGCTTAACCAATTCCCCGAACTGCCGTAGCAGAGGTCCCCAGCATGCAGACCTTTAGCTCTAAGGATCAAAGGAGAGCAGCAGTTAAACCGACTCATGCGACAAGAACTGATACAAGACAAGATGTAAGCTGACTGCGTGGGCCGAGGAAGTTGGATGCCTGCAATGCAACGACTGCGAGAATGAGTTACAGTCGCAACCGAGCAGACTGCAACACAGCACAAACTTCTCACGCGATTGCCGTCATCCCTTTCGGTCAAAACCTTCAGCTTCCAACACTGGCACAAGGCCAACAGCGTCTCAAGCCACATCCAGACCCCATGGCAAGACCCCACTCCGGAGCGTTTTTGGTGCAGTTCGGAAAGGACTGGTGGACGTTTTCCTCTGCTGCAAAGGGTTGGACAGAAGCTCCAAGATAAAGCGAGAGTCTGATTATGATCGGAGCACACTGACATTATGGTAAACCTCGTTCGTGGTTTGGAGTATCCAGGCAAGGAGCCTCGATGCCTCGATGTCGGTGCATTCATCTGGTCTCAGTCACAGCTCGGCCCGGCCCTGCCTCGAACTCTGTGTCGCTTTCACTGGCAGATCGGTCCTTTAAAGAACTCCTAATCGGCTTTCACAGACCTTTAGACATCAAGCTGATATTGAGGATCCACAGCGTGTTTGGGTACTCGTAGGAGTGCATCGGTGGTGTAAATTGCAGCTTTGTGCCATTTCAAATTATGTAAACGGGCGGGCATCGACAAGCTTCTAGTTCATTGGAATCCGTGGAAACACAGAGTCTCGCTCTGAGATTGGGATGTATGACGAAGCCACGAGCTGGGGCACACTAGCACATACCAGCAGCACCGATGCTTTGTTCGCTTCGATGGACGATGTCCCGAAGGTGCTGCGAGGGCTTTACAGCTGACTGCTTTGCCTGTTGTTTTGGACAAATGCGAGGCCCTTGTATGTAAATTCACAGCACGCCCACATGCAAATATTTAACACGCGGGGCTAGAGCAGCAGGTGAAGCGATGCACCACTCTAGGCTGAAGTAGGTTTACCTTTGGTTTCGGCATCCTCCCGTCAGCAAATGGAAACCTTCTCGGCAGCAACATTCTTCCATAATACGATGCAAACACACTCCGTGGCTGAGTGGAGGCCACACGTGCGTCGATCATGGTTTCGGCTCGATTTATTACAAGTGGCAACCCTCTCGGTGGTGCGAGATTCTGTCATAGACATGTGAGATTTTGTGGGAAGAATGTTAACAAAATTATGTGGATGCTCAGACTAGAAACGATGATAATGGTGATGGTGTTGGTGATGGTGATGGTGATGGTGATGGTGATGGTGATGGTGATGGTGATGGTGACGATGATGATGATGATGACGATGGTGATGATGATGATGATGATGATGATGATTCTTCTTCTTCTCTCGCCGTGAAAGAGTTCACGATGCGGTCATCGGGCAGTGGCATTGCCACCGGCGTTCAGAACGCAGCCGTTTCGCTCCCCAAAGCCTACAGCAGTCCTTTTCCTAGTGGTCGCCCCGCCCCTTGGGGCCCATAAGCAGGCGACCACTTGGTTAAAGAAAACCGAAATCAAATGCTGACCCTCTTGTAAGAAGACCATGTAGCTGAAAATGATCCCTCGGACTGCTCTGCTGAAAATGGCCAGGTGACGTATTGTGACCTGATTAAAAGAGGTTGCTGATCAATGGAGCCTTCGTAAGAAGAATAGATATGAGTTATTGTTTATGTGTACGACCTCCTCTGGGCTCGCCGGCTTGGCTGATCTATCGT